TAGTTCTCTGTCCAATGACCCTATCAGTAAAACTGATGAAATGCCATCATTCTCCGCTGTATCCCAGGGCAGACGTGAGGCTTCACGTGCAGAGCTTTCAGCTTTTTGATTGAGTAAAAAAGACCACCCCCCTAGCAGCCTGGCCATCTATAGTAAGATATACCCTACCTCTCATCTAAAAAGAATTGGACGCACTCTATTTATTTTGAACTGAGTTTATGGCGGGGGGATGATACTATGGAGTGAAATGGGTAATTATTAATTGAAGGAAATTTGATTTTGAACTGGATCCATTTGCGTGGGTGCTCCGCTAACTACTTGGGTTTGAGGTAATCTAGAGGAGGGCTACAAATTGATTTATGAATTTATTTGAAGTAGACATTGTTATTACTGTTTTGATTTATGACCCACACTTCACCCTAAGGTCCCAAGGCAGGTCACACCAATGTAAAATGCAATACTGAAAACAAATTGCAACCAAAAGTATAGGGTGGGTCCTAAGAAATATACATCTCAAGTGTCAAAGGGCAGGGGAGAGAAGCACCTTCAGGATATCATGAAAATATAAATTTCTCAACTTTACCAGAAGCCTTAAGCAGACCCCTTAAGCAGGTGTTGTGTGGGCACTCAAGACTAATTGCCCAGTTATGTACTTACATACACAATGCCGCTGTATTTGTGTCACTCATTAGCAGAGGAACGGGGAGAGTGCAAAATGGATTCTAAGCCCTTCGTTTTTCATTTCCTGAAGTGCCGACTTCAGCAGACCACATCCATCCATTTTTTAATAACAGCTATCAAGCCAATGAGCAAAAACAAATTTACTGTCACCTGATGGTTTTCAAATGACAATTTTAACGACCTAATTACTTGTCGAATCATCTATTTTCTCTCTGTGGTCATAGAGGCAGATCTGCTGTATCTGACATTCTTATTTAAGAGGATATCCTAACCCCTATAAAATTACTGTTTTGTAAAACCATGTTTAAGGTTTCCTGTTTAAACCTTTGGCTTTTTTTTTTTGTACTGTAAGTGTTCCAAGCAATATTTAAACAGCCTCTTTAGTTACTGGGGGGGAGGGTGGAACCTAATGCACTGCTTTTCAAATCATCTCTTTTCTATCATGAGGGCTGCAATCCTATACCTACTTTCCTGGGAATAAGCCCTACTGAACTCTGTGAACATTCTGTGCACATTCACTTAAAAGTAAACTCAAATGTGTAAACAGGCATAAGGTCAGTCTGTAAGCTCTTAACTTTCTGATCACAAAATCAGTAGAAAATATAGCAACACCTTAATTCTCTTTAAATTGCCTGCACTGAAATCAGTGGGGTTGCAAAAATGAAAGCATTGTTCGCAGTTGCCTTCTAACTGTCTCATTTCAGCTGGGATAGCCATGCCTTTCAGAGACTTTAGTGATCCCACTTTTCAAAAAGCAACTTTTTATTCGCGCCCCCCCCCCGGCGCCTTTGGTATAAACTGAAGCAAAGAGTTATCACCACACTTAAATGGCCCTTTAGACAGTACATGCCTTTTTATGCCTTTTAGTTACAGTGATATAGAGCCAGACCTACCATTGAGCAAAGGGAGGCAATTGCCTTTGGTGGCAGATGCTGGTTGTTCTTCCTTAGACCACCACCCACCTCCATTTCCCTCTGTTGCAGGGTAGCAACATATAACCTACATGGCATGTTATCTAGTGTAAAATGGGATTAGTGTCCTGTAACTAACATAAATGAATTGTAGTGAATATATATATATATATATATATATATATATGCATGCATCTGGAAGCAGATGGTTGCCTGCCCTCCTAGTGCCTGATACATTTAAATCTGGATTGTTTTGGGCCCACCATTGTCTACCAGAACACATCATTTTCCTGCCAGGCTCTAGTCAAAACCCCACCCACCCACACAGAGGAATGTGCCTCCCCATTCCAGGAGTAGTTGCTTGGTGGTAGACCTCACTATGGATAATCTCAGTTGCCGTATTTGGGGCCAGGGAGGACTAATTGCCCTCATCTGAAGGTTTTGCCTTCCTCATAGCAGTTGCCACAACTTTGATGGGTAAAGCCTTACTCATGTTCGGAGGAGAGGTTGTTAGCCTCTATCTTCTGCTCCGAGGAATGGAGTATCCCGTTAAAGGGATCCAGGAGGAGGTGCTTCTCTCCAGATGCCCAGGAGGGGGCTACAGCCATAGTATTCCTCAAGTAGACACATACTTGATGTTTGTCATAGGTCCTCCTCATCCCTGCATCAACTGCCATAAAACATCCAGCAAGTGGGCTGGCTGATATAGGATATACCCAATACCTAGGTCAAATCCTCTTACTTCTGTAATCAATAAAGTTGTGGCCTTATTTGATTCAAATGAATGTTGTCATGTGTGGTTCAATGATCTCAGGTGAAGCGGTGGTTTCACAGTGCTTTGGCACACAAGAAGATCATTAAGCTCATGGCAGATAGCTAGCGGTATCCTCAAATATTCTTAGCTTTAAAAAAAAAAAAAAACCAGCAAGTTTTTTTTATCATTTACAAAACCCAGTTTAAGGAGGATCTCAGTTTTCACTTCTGTAGGTAACCAGTTACTATTGCAATCTTTGGAGCGGTAGTTGTACAGAAGGATGGTGATTTAAAACAAAAACTGCAAGTTCACATGATGAGCTAGTGAAATCTGTTTGAAGATGAAACTGAAAAATATTTCATAAGGTGAATCTCTGTTGTCATGTTAATATTCAGTTAAGAAATGTGTTGCCGTTTCTTAATGTGAAAACTTCAAATTAATATGCACTTGTGTTTTTTTGTTTTGTTTCCCTCACTCAATCCTTAATAGAGAAGAAAATCACGCTATTCTGACCTCGACTTTGAAGTAAGTTTTCTTGCATTATTTCAGCAGTATTTGATTTAAAGCAATGTGAATTTGAAGTGTTTATCTTAATAAATATTTTGACAGCTTTTGTAGAGACAGCTTTTGCTAAACTTCGTTTTTTGAAAGCTATGCTAGAGTTGTCCCTTTTCAATGTATCATAAATCTGCACTTTTTAAAGCATTTCCAAAGCTCCACTTTCACAGTCCATTTGAACTTGGATGAATAGAACTTCCCCCCTATTTTAAATATCTATACAATATTCTGTGACTCCCTCCCTTCTTGAGGATTATGGCTTTCCCTGTGACAGAAGAGGACTAGGGCTTATTTACATATGTTGATCTATTTAAACGTTTTGCACAGCGAGAGCCTCATTGCTGAATTTTGAGATTGAGCTGGATAAAAGAAACTCTAGCTAGCAGTCAGGGCAACCAGCCAGAACAGTTAAAAAAAAGAGAGGTCATAAAGCTCTCTTGCATGCAGAGATAGGCTGTTGTCAGCCAGACCAATGGCCAGATAGCATCACCCATTTAACAATCTGGACTGAAGCCTGTATAGGTACTTCCAGAGAATTCTGTAACTCTGTGCTGTACACATGACAATATTCCCAGGTCTTTATGGCCTCTGAAACTCTGGGGGTATGCTGTGAACATGCAGGGAGGCAATTGTACATAGTGAGTGGGAAGCAGGCCTGCAACTGAATTAGGCAATGAGGCATGGAGAGAAATGAAACATACTTATATGAAGCTGCTGTCTACCAAATCAGACCAGATCTCTGTGGTCACAGCCTTGCTATGAGAGCTTTTAACTGAAGATGCCATGATCTGCAGCTCCAGCTTTCTGTGTTCTGAGACACTGTCACTTATCATCTACTGTTCTAGATCTTCTAAGCACTTGATTTTGGAGTTTCAGGTCCATTTAGGTTATTATAAATTGGATATCTAAATATTAAAGCTGATTGTTTTTGGAAAGCCTGGGCTTGATTATTCAGTCGATGGAGATATGGGTGCTGTATAAAATCTCCACTGATTAAGATTATTTAATCTTAAACACAATTGTTATCCAGAGGGTCGGGCGGGGGGGAAGAGTTCAAAGTCATTAATGAAATGTATAGGATTAGTACCTAACACTCTGATCATAACCCCACTACTTGAATATGAGTGCCACCCGTTTCAGTGGAAGATGCTTTCAAGAAATGTGTTTAGAACTGAGCAGTGCCTCTGTATACTCAGAGCATAATGTCCCTCGTCTATTCAGTGGAATATTAATGATTTGTGGAATCTTGCTTTATGCATAAGCTTCCTGTTCACGCAAGTTAACTATCTGATATAATTAATTATGTGTTCCTCTTGTGAAGCTGAAGCTTCACCATGTTTGCATAGCCAATATACACTTAGGACCACTTTATCATCGCCTGAGAAGCATGTAGTAACTGTAATTTGAAAAATAATCCATATTAATGTGAATGGGCGCAGAGCAGTATAAAGCACAAGATATGCTGTGAACAGCCTTCTTTCATTTGAGAGAAGAATCTGATTTACCATTAGCACATACCTGATAAAAATTCTATTAAAAGAAAAGCCTAATGCTTCGTGAACTGTTCCTTATAAAAAAATACCTCTAATCTAAAAAGCCTGAATTGTCATAGGGACACAGAGCGCTCCCTTATACTGAGTCAGATCAACTAGTCCAGGGGTTCCCAGACTGTGGCCCATGGACTACATCAGATCTGCAAGCTTCATTCAGGTGGTCTGCAGCATTATCCTCATTAAATAGTCATATTAAATTTTAATTGTATTGTTATTGCTTCCTTACTGAAACTGTATTGCAATAAAACACAATGTAAGTTCTATAGAATGCAAACTGTAATACAATGAAATACAATGTGATAATAATGGAAGCAATATATACAATTAAAAACCATACAGCATTTGTAGCACGGTGCACTGCAGTTGCTACAGTGGGAAGAAAAATCATTCAGTGGTCCACCAAGACCACCAGCAATTTTCAAGTGGTCCAGGAGGTAGAGGAAAGATATTCAAACCATGGCACTCCATCTAATTCAGTACTGTCTACATGGACAGGCAGCAGCTCTCTAAAGTTTCAGATAGGAAGTCTCTCCCATCCCTACCTGGAGATTCCAGGGATTGAACCTGGTACCTTTCTGTATGCAAGGCAGGTGCTCTACCGATGAGCTTCAGCATTTCCCAGGTAACATAATTAGGAAGCTGTTGTTAATTCAAAGGAGCATCATAGTATGACTATGAAGAACAGACAGTAATCTCAACCCACACCAATAACTGCAGTACAAGATTTTGATTGCAGAATGATTTTTTTCACTTGCAGAGTGAGGCTCCAATCCTACCCCATTTACCAGGGAGTAAGCTCTTCTGAATTCACTGGGATCTTCTTAAGAGTAGATATGGTTAGGATTGCAGCTAAAACTTTCATATTACAAGCAGGCAGACAGACAGACACACAGACAGTGATTACCTTGCCCCACCCCCAAAAAATTGATATTAACAATATAAGGTCACATGTGATTAATAATAATATATATGATTAGTTTTAAGAATGTGTCTGTAATGTATTGCTGAGCTTGAAATATCTAACCATTAGAAACCCTGCCTGGCCATGATTCATGTCAGTCAGCGCTTATGCCCTTATAGCATTAGGTGCCACTTAAACAGCCACTGAACATCTATAAAGGAACCAAAGACAACTATCTTTTTTTCCATATACCGTATTTTTCGCCCTATAGGACGCACTTTTTCCCCTCCAAAAATGAAGGGGAAATGTGTGTGCGTCCTATGGGGCGAATGCAGGCTTTCGCTGAAGCCTGGAGAGCGAGAGGGTCGGTGCGCACCGACCCTCTCGCTCTCCAGGCTTCAGGAGAGCCCCGTCGCCAGCCCCGCAAACTCGGGGGACAGCGGGAGGCGCAGCGCGCCTTTCCCGCTGTCCCCCGACTTGGTTAGAAGGCTGGCGGGGGGGGAGAAGCCTGCTCCTCCCCGTCGCCAGCCCCGCAAACTCGGGGGACAGCGGGAGAGGCGCAGCACGCCTTTCCCGCTGTCCCCCGACTTGGTTAGAAGGCTGGCGGAGGGCTTCCCCCTCCTCCAGCCCCGCAAGCTCCCAGAGCGATGCCAAAGCTGCACACAGCTTCGGCATCGCTCTGGGTCCCGTTCTGGGGGCTGGGGGAGGGGGAAGCTCGGGCTTCCCCCGCCCCAGCCCCGCGCCTGGGGGGGGGAAATATTTTTTTTCCCTTTATTTCCCCCCCCCCCCAAAAAAAAATCTAGGTGCGTCCTATGGGCCGGTGCATCCTATAGGGCGAAAAATACGGTATATATTTTCCTTTGGCTAGTGAATGCCTAGCAGCAGTAAGATCAATGAGTCACTGGCTCAGGAATCTGAATTCAACAGTTAAAGGTTCTCCCTGGCAACTGACAAAAACTCTCCAGCTGCCTCAAAATCCAAGCTGCAAACTCGCTGTAGGGCAAACTATTATAAAGCTGCTCAGGTTGCTGCTATCTTAGCCCCACTGTGTGTGTGTGGAAAAACAGCCAGGAAACTATGTTGTCTCTGCAAGTGGGAGATCTAATAAAAGCAGAAATTCATATAAGGATCATTTACCCACACACTTTGATTTGCTTATTGCTGTCTTCCCACCCACCCCCCTTCAATCATCAGCCACACTAACTTCCCTTTAGGAGGGTCAAATTTTTAAAATGCCAGAGATTCTAACTCTGTAAGTGCTCTGAAGAAGGTAGACATTCTGCAGGTGCAGCTTCTCCCGACACAGTGGTGTAGTGAAGGGGAAAGTGGCACATGTGGAAGAATGCCGTGCCCTAGGAGTTCTTTAGAGGGAAGAAATTATGCCCCCTTCAGAATGTCATCACCTTAGAACATTAACTTCCATGGGGTGAGGGAGAAATTTGATTCAGTTTGCAATTAAAAGCGAATCTAGTTTGCAGTTTCCAAACCAGCATGCAAACTGAAACCTGACTATAAAATCATAGAGTTGGAAATGACCCTAAGGGTCATCTAAGTCCAGCCCCCTGCAATGCGTGAATCTCAACTACAGCATCCAAGACAGATGGCCATCCTTTGAAATTCACCCTTCTGCAGCCACATAAGGGGTACAAAAATGCATATTTTAGGGTAAAATGTGCATTAAAATGCATATATTCGTGAATGAAAATGTAAAATACATTATACTAGGGGGAGCATAAATATTAGGGAATATAGGCTTTGCAAAAACATGTACATTAGACAAAACTGCCTACGCATCTGTAATATTAGGAGAACATTGCACTAAAATGCTGGAGAATTCTCGCGAGGGTTTTTTTAAAGAATCATAAAGCAATGTGGAGAATAGAACTTAAAACTGGGGGGGGGGGGGATGAAAAACAGAGAGAAACCAAATTTGACAGATTAGCCCGTCCCTACTTCCCACACTGCTGATTCAGAGTGCAAGGGAAAGAACGGCGGAGGAGAAGGCAGATACAAAAGTGTGAACCAGGATGAAACGGCGCTTGCTATTACATAACGAAAAACAAGCTCAGGTCAAGGAAGTGGGGAGGAGAAGAACACTCAATGCAATTCTACTCTGTACTTCTTGAAAATGTAACCCCATGTCAGGGGTGGGGAAGCCTTTGCAGCCTGAGGGCCATATTAACTCATGAGCAACCTTACCGGAGCCACATGTCAGTATGGGGTCAGACCAGAGGGGAAAATAGGCAAGGCAACTAATTCTTACCTTTTGTAACAGTAGGCTACTTTCCACTCATGAAAAATTAAGAGGCTTGCACATTCTCACACCCACGCCCTTTCATCCAAGTAAGCGTAAGTGCAAAAGCATCTTCTTGTCACTTTCCACCAGCTTTTCAGGGGCAGACGTTAAACTAACCAGCCTGCAACTTTCAGGTTCCATCCTGGTTCCCTTTCTAAAAATTGGTGTTACATTGGCACAGCTCCAGTCCAGCTCCAGGCATGGAAGCTGATCTGAGGAACAAGTTACACATCCTGGTTAGAAGATCATATTAGAGCTCTTAAAGAACTCTTAGGTAGATGCCATCCAGAGCCAGTGATTTGTCAGTTTTTATTTTGTCTGCTAGGCCTAGATCTTCATCTATCATCAACCCTATTTGCCTCAGTTTTTCAGACTCCCTTCCTGCAAAAGCACTCAAAGAGAGTGCAGAGCAGGGCGGGGACCTAGGGAGTGCCCAAGGGACCAGCTATAGATAGGCACAGAGGGTTGTATTTGGCCCTTCAGCTAGCCATTCCCCATCTCTGGGCTTTACAACGGAGGTGAGGAGGGGAGAATGAAATTAAGCCTGCTTGTCTCACCTCTTCATCCCCACACATAGATGGGCTCTTCTACACAGAATCTGTGCACGTGCAACATTGGAAGGCAGGCCTGTGGGCTCAATTGTTTTCCTCCAAGAACTGCCATTTGCACATGAAATGGAGAAAAGATACATGTTTGGTCTGCAGCATTTCAAGTTTGGACTCACAGGTCCTGATTAATCTGCAGATTTTGGCTATGTGTCATCGTCATCCCCTGCCCCACCGCCCAAAATATTTTTTTTCCAGGCATCCACTTAATGAATCTTTATACCGAGTAGGAAGCTATGACGCATTAACAACTAAATCAACCTACCTTAAAGGCAATTAAAACTTTTTTTTTAAAGTATATAAGGAGAAATTATATAATCACCATACTGAGCAAATACTGTGACTCATAACTATGCCATTTAGAAAGTCAGATATTCAGCTTGGTTCTCTTTCTTCGAGAATTTTTCTCTATGGCAACTGATTCGAAGACATCCTTCCTATCACTGAAGAGAGCAGATTTTAGCATCTGATAAATACAGATGATGCCTTGCACGTCTAAAACATTCTGTTCTCCTTTATCTGTCATCCTGTTACATATTTTTAAATTGTCAGACAAAGTGATTGCAAGGATGTGTGTACATTTTGCCAAGCTCACCAACTGTTGCTCCTCTTGTTGTTGAAGTGGGAGTACCACAGGTGCCCCTTCAGCATGGAGAGGCACACATATATATATTGGCTGGATCCTAAGATGTTCAGGAAGCTTGCATAAAGGAAATTTCTCATACCTCCCACCCTTGAGAAGCCTCTCCAGTAGTTCAAGCTCCCCTCCTGAACAATGTGGGATGGGGCACAATGGAGGGCCAGTGTGGGAGGTGGGAATCTCTCAAAATCAAGCTTGTGTTCTACATAAGTAAGTTCCCAAAAGAGAAGTTCTTTCTCTTTGTAGTCTCCCACAGCCCAATCCACACTGTCTCTCCAGAGAGGTCTCTGCAGATTGCTATGCTCAATGCTTTCTTGTCAGAACTCGTGAAGTCATGAGGCAAGAAGCCCAGTCCCACTCAGGCTTGAATCCATGTGCTAGGACTTAGGAGTAGATGAATCTGTTAATTTTGTTTTCTCTCAGCTTCTAGTTTTCCCAGTATCAAATTCAGTTCTCTACATTTCCACAACAATGTGCAATTTTTAATTAAAAGAAAAATCCTCATGAAAATGAACCAGCATTTTAGTGTGGATTTTTCATAATAAACACTTTTATTTATGCTGTTGTGGCTAATATTCACATTTTTGCAAGTAGTTCCCCCTAATATAGTATATTTTTGTATGCTGTGTTCTAAAACATATGCATTATTATGCACACTTTCCCCCACTATGTCCATTTTTGTACCTGCTGGTTGAAAAAACCACAACACAAAATTTGGAGAAGTGAACATTTTGAAGGATAGTTGGCTTTGTCTTTCATTTCACATTTTGGTTTGAGAAGTGCGAATTAGGCAGTTCTCATTAAAATGCAAACACAACGGAATTTCTTTTACAGCACAATCTTACCCACATTTACTCACAGAAAGACTCAAGAATTATTACTTATTACTTCCTAATAAGTGAATTTAAGATTGTAGCCACTGTTCCGCAATCCTGTTATCTTTGGAAGTGGAACCAGTTATGTGTGTAGGGCCAAGTTTGCTACCTGGCATTACTAACAGTAAGATTAATACCTTGGAAACCCAGGAAATCACTTATGTGAGACTTCCTTCATAAATCTAGGTCTACTATCTCTTAGGAGAATTATGTTTTGCAAGAAGGATCTCATTGAATCCTACAGAACCCCACAATTCTTTAGAGGTTAATTGGTTTATAATTGCTTGCTATGT